AAACTTGTTTATGTCTGTTAACAACACATAAGGGTAGGAAATTTGACAAAATTTATTTATTTATTTATTTATTTATTATAAATCAGCCATTTTATTTTATGTTAACATTTCAGCAGAAAATTTTTTTTTTTCCTCCTAAGCATTCAAAACGTTTTTTTTTTTTTTTTCATAACATGATATGAAAGACTTAAATAACTATTCTATTGAATAGTTAAAAACTATTGAAATAATATTTAACCTTGACTTATTCATAAAAAGTTTTTGCGGTGAAAACCATTTATTCAATTAAAAAAAAAAAAAAAAAAGAAAGAAAAATGTTTGCCTTACAACCAGGAGATATGAATTTAATAATAATAATAATAATAATGATAAAAACAAATAAAAAACAAACAAAAAACATGGTTGTATTTAATAATATGTACATCCTCTTCCATCCAATAACATTGATTTTCTTTCATATTTAATAATAATAATAATAATAATAATTTACTGTGGTTTAAATAACAGGTTCATTAAAGTAGTCTAGTTTTCCCCCCTCCCGTCCCCCTCCTCCTCCCCAATGACCAACAAAATATTTTAAATAATTTCAAATGGATTGTTGTAGTTGTACTAAAAAAAATTACAAAAAAAATGAGTTACTTTCTATTTATTTAAAAAAAAAAAAACGGTTTTTTGGTTGTTTAAAAAAAAAAAGGATGATTGGAGGGGGGAGAGGAAAAAGAGAAATTTGCAATGGATTTAGACTTGTTTGTTGTGTTGACAAATACATTTGGAAAAAAAAACTCGTCGGCCATCATTTTTTCAGGTCAAGTTCGGTGTAAAAAAACTTGAACCTGAAAATTAATGAGAATGAAAAGCATCATCAGGTTAACATTGATGGAAATCAAATGGAAAATTCTAATTTATTCTTTTTTTTATCTACATTTCCGGATTTTCATGCCAGATATGAAATTTTTTTTTATTTAATATTACAAATGATAATTAAATTTTTTTTTTTTTGTAAAAGAAAATGTTGGATAATTTACGTAATAATTATTTATGTACGTATTTAATTTTTATTTCCCATAAGTTAAGAAGTAAAAAAAAACCGGAAGCCATTTTGTTTTTGTTTTTTGTACCAATGATCTAACATAAATTAATTGTTATTAGTTTCACATTTGACCGCGACATTTTTCCCTACATAAAATTTGTCGAAAGTTTTTCATTAACGTATTAAAGGTTTTTTTTTTTTTTATTTGATTCTTAATTAATTAAAAACAATTGAATATTGTTGTTCGTTTTGTGATTTTATTAAAATTATCAGTTTTACCAACATAATGATACATAAATCGTAAGATTTTTTTTTTTTTAATCTTCTTATTGATATGTCTTCGAACTCTCTCAACATCATATTTTACTCTTCAATTAACTTTTTTTTTTTTTTTGCCTCTACCACGATACTTCTGATTAGTTATCTCATTTTTTTTTAAAATTATGTCTATTATTGATATCGGATTTGTTATCACAATCATAATTTCGTCTGTTTGTATTTAGAGGACTTTACTCAAACCTTACAGGACCTACCTTTCGCTCTATACACATTTCCTCATGTAAATAACTATAAATTTTTTTTGTGATTTTTAATGCCATTATTATTATTATTATTATTATTATCAACGATTTATTTTAATTGATGACATAAGCCTAATGTATGTACTGATTTATTTAATCTTGATCTTTATTATCAAATTGTCATAATTGTGACGTTATGTGTTCAAATATTTTGATATGCAAAATTAATTTTTATCATCATTTTCACACTTTGTGATAAAATAAATTTTTTGCGATTTAAGTAAAAAAAATTTTTTACCTTTTCCTCCTTCCCCTCCCCTCCCTTCCCCTCACCCACTTACTTTGCTTTACATGAATAACCCAAATAATACTAATTCATTTAAAAGTTAAATTTATATACAATAAGTGGAAATTATTAGCATAATTTATAATTATTATTATTATTATTATGACAAAAAATTTTCTTTTTTTTTTTTTTTTTTTTTTTTTTTAGGTAAAAATGTTAAATTTTATAAAATCATTAGGTCGAAAAAAAAAAATTTCTGATGATGGCGATGAAAATAATAAATTAAATAGAGTTTTAACACTTGTTGATTTGATTGGTTTGGGAGTAGGAAGTACTCTGGGAGTTGGTGTCTACGTATTAGCAGGTAGCGTTGCTAAAAACCTTGCCGGACCTGCTGTCGTTATAAGTTTTGTCGTTGCTGCTGTTGCGAGTGCTTTTGCTGGAGTATGTTACGCCGAATTTGCTGCCAGAGTTCCAAAAGCGGGTTCCGCTTATGTATATTCATACGTAAGCGTTGGAGAGCTGGCAGCATTTGTCATTGGATGGAATTTGATTTTAGAATATGTCATAGGTGAGATAATTTCAGGTTTATATATATTCCCAAATGATTAAATATTTTAAAATAATTCATTGTGTTGCAGGAACTGCTAGCGTTGCCAAGGCTTTAAGTGTTTATATTGATGCTCTCGCCAACAATACAATGAAAGACACTCTTCAAACAATGTTTCCAATAAATGTTAGTTTTTTATCATCTTATCCAGATTTTTTATCATTTTTTTTTGTCATGATAGTCGCCGGTCTTTTGGCTTTCGGCGTTAAAGAATCTACAACTTTAAATAATCTTTTCACTGGTCTTAATTTAGCCGTTATAACATTTGTCATAGTCGCAGGATCGATAAAAGGTTAATTTTAAACAATCTTTTCCTTTTTTTTCTTTTCTAAGTAAATAAAAAAAAACTAAATTTTGGTTTGTTTGTTTTTAGCTGATCCAGCCAATTGGTTTATACCAAAAGAAGAAATAAAAGGTGAAGGTGGAGAAGGTGGATTTATGCCCTATGGTGTCAAAGGTGTCATGGAAGGAGCTGCAAAATGTTTTTTTGCGTTAGTAGAATTTGTTTCCCCCCACTCCCCCTTCAATCAAACACATAAAATTAAACTAATTGAAAATTTAGTTAAATTAATAGTGATTCAGAATAATAAAAAAAGGATGCATTTTTTTTTTTTTTTTTTAATGTAGTTTTGTAGGATTTGATTGCATAGCCACAACTGGAGAAGAAGCTAAAAATCCAAGAAGAAATATTCCTTTAGCCATTTTATTTTCATTAATAATAATATTTTTGGCATATTTTGGTGTATCAACCGTTTTAACAATGATGTACCCATATTACTTACAGGTATCATTTTATTTGACTTTATTTTTATTATTATTATTTTTTTTTATTTGTATTTAAGGGTCGATTTTCTAAAAATGAAATATAAAGTTTAATAAATTTAATTCATTTAAAATTATTACATGTGCAGTAAATAAATAATATTTTAAGGATGCTGAAGCTCCATTTCCTTCTGTATTTGAAAAAATCGATTGGATCACGGTTAAATGGATTGTGACAATAGGAGCAATATTTGCACTTTGTACAAGTTTATTGGGAGCCATGTTTCCTCTTCCAAGAGTTTTATATGCAATGGGAAACGATGGAATCATTTTTAAAACTTTTTCAACCGTTAATAGTAAAACTCAAACTCCATTAATTTCAACTCTTTTAAGCGGACTCCTCGCCGGTACAATTTTTTTTTCTTTTCTCCCTCCTCCTCCCCCCCCCCAAATAAATTCTTTTTTTTTATAAATGGATGACATTTTTTTTCTTTTTATAGGATTATTAGCCATGCTTTTAGATTTGGATCAATTGATTGACATGATGTCTATAGGAACACTTTTAGCATATACAATTGTTGCTGTTTGCGTTTTGGTTCTTAGGTACTCTACCTACACACACACATATAATTTCAATCAATTTATTTTAAACCCTCATCACCATAATGATAATAATAATAATAATAATAATGTAAAAACCTTTTCCTTTAGATATGAATATGAAGAAGATGTAAAAATACCATCCGTTGAAAATAATAATAATTCAAATAAAACAAATATTTTTCAATTGAGTAAAAATATAATAAAAAAGGCATTTAACTTAAACATGGCGAAAATTCCAACAGAAGAAACATCCCATGTCACCAAATGGGGAGTTTTTAGTTTTGGTAAGTCAATCAATATACTTTTATTTATTAATTTTAATTACATATAAAATAATTTAATATTTTTTTTCCAGCAATAACTTGCTTAGGAGTTTCCAGCATATTAATCTATGCACAAAACCCGTTGGTAAATAGTGTCACGTGGTCCATAACTCTCCTATCAATTTTTGTTTTTCTTTCTTTTATAATAGTTATTATTATAGGGAGGCAACCATTTGCAAAAACTCAACTTTCATTTAAGGTGTTTATATTCTCTGACAGACATAATTATTTTAATAAAGTTACACCATACACTAATATCATGTTTTTTTTTTTATTTAAATAGGTTCCTTTAGTTCCCCTCATACCCAGTTTGAGCCTTTTTATCAATACTTATCTTATGTTAGAATTGGATTTTCAAACATGGATTAGATTTTCTGTTTGGATGATAATAGGTATTTCAGGTATTTTTTTTTTGATAAAAACATTTGAATTGAAATATTATAAATTATTTTTTTTTTTAGGTTTTGCAATATATTTCTTTTACGGATATAAAAACAGTTTAGAAAATGTAAAAAATAAAAATTTAAAAATTGAATCAGAATCATCTAATGGTAATTCAGTACAAAAGGATGAAAAAGTATGATAATAGATTAAGTTTTAAATTTTTTATTCACATGACAACAAACAAACAAACAATGGAGTAAGACTATGAGGGTTAAATTTAAAATGTTCTCCTTCTTGTTTTTTTTAAAAACAATAATAATTTAACTCTGTCCTTTTACTTACTTGGATAAATCATTCGGTTTTGAAAATTGTTGTTAAATTACAAATTTGTTATGACATTTAAAAAAAAAAAATTCCTTTACATGAAAATTTGTATACTTTTATACTTTTTCCCATTCGAACAATGACAACAGTATTTTGTAAAAGTATAAATTTACGAACAATATTTTTTTTTTTGTATGATTAAAAAAAAGTTTAAAAAAATTTAGAAATTATTTATTAGTAATAATTTTTTTTTATAAACCAAAGACTTTTATTAATTAAATTAATAATTATATAAATTTTTTTTTTTAATAAAAAATACATAACTGATGACATTTTTATTTTTATTCAGAAATCATAAGAAAAAAGAAAAAAATTATTTATATATAATACTGCACATAAATGTACTATATTGAAAATAAAATATATATTTTTTAATATAAAATTTGATTTGATTATTATTATTATCTACCTTTTGGATTTTCAATTAAATTTTTATATTTTTTTTTAAGTTTTCAATCTTTGAAATATACACTTGAACAGAATAAATGTATTTATGAAATATGCGAAAAGTGTTATTCCGTTTCTACCACTGACATTATTTTTTTGAATTTCACCTTTGTGAGCATTTTTAATAGCTTTTTGTTGAATTTGACTTAAGTGAGATTTTTGAAGTTCGGATATCGAAGCAGCAGCTAATATTGTTAAGTGTTGTAATTGATATGTTGTCATCGCCTGTGTGTGTGTTTGCAATCGTTAAAATTATTTCCAATTTTCCATTATTAACACTGAGTTTTTTTTATTACCTTAAATGTGTCTGCACTTAAGCACTGAATTATATTTGGTGTCAATGATTCAAAACCTTCAGGAGGAATACTTGCAATGTCTTCTCTTGACATACCATTTAAAATGCAACCAACTGAATTCACTTGAGATAAATACCAAGTTGAAGGATCATCAAATGCTAAGGGTGAAACTGCAAGGTTAGCAAGTGCTTGTAACGATTCTCTAGGACAATCTTGTAATGTTGCCAATGTACTCGATGCTTCCCTAAAATTTTTCTTGTGAAAATTTTGTTTGTTTTTTTTATGAAATTTTATTTTTCCTACCTGTAAGAATCTGGATGTATATCTGAAATTTCAGATGAATTAAAACCACATAAAATATGATTCAATGCTTTCAGATCGTAATAAGTGTAATCAGTTGGCTCTTTTGCATTCCAATCTTCTCTGACTTTTTCAGCCAAAGTCTGCAACTAAAAGTATATACATTGTTCCTTTCTTTAAAATTATTTTTTTAAATTTATTTTACATGTAATATTATTAGTTTTTTAATACCTGGGTAAGGCTTAAATTGTGGTATTGTCCAAAAGCTGTTATCGTGTCAATGTCTGATAAAGTTAAGTTGTTCATCTCTTTAGGTGATATTACTTTTATAATCCATCCCAACTGCCTTAAATTTTTTTCTGGAATAGATGATATATCATTTTCAAATGCCTGAAAGAAAAAAGCCCCATAAATTTAAAGTACTTTATTTAACAAAATTAAATTCAATGCATTTAACCTCTATTAATCTTCCCCACAAGTACTTGGCTTCTTCATGTTCGAGAGGGTCTTTTCCCAAATATACAAGGCAAGATATCAAAGCATCATTTGTAAGAGTTTTAAGTTCTTGTAAAGAAAATTTTGATCCTGATTCTCTTTTTTTTAAATCAGAACATGTCAATCCTAAAAAAATAAACAACTTTTGTAATTAAACCTTGAATTAAATAAATATTAAGTAATCATTCATTATGATTAGAAAAATAAAATAAATTTTAATCTTTTTCAATAAACTAAAACTGAAATTGATTTCTCATATATTTTTTTTTTTTTCACTGAAAAAAAGAAAAAAAAAAACATCTTACCACATATTTGTATGATTGTTTTTATTACTAAAAAACAAAGAATTATAATCAGTGATTTCATGCAAATAACAGATAATCGAATTCATTGTGAATTTCGTGAAATGCTAAAAACGAATTATTTCTAAATCATTCATTTATAATTCATTTCGCCCTTAAATATTAAAAAACCATTATTGAAAAAAAAATAATAATTTTTTGCTGTTACAAAAGGGCACGGTTTTTTTACCACGTGATCGCGTGATTAATAAATAGACGAATAATAATAATGAAGACCTTCGTGTCAATAGAAATTTATGAAATGGTCATTTTCTTAAGTTAAACATAGGTAAAGTTATTTAATACTTTTTTTTTTTTTTTATAAAAATAAAAAACGTCAAAAAATATGTGTACGATGAATGTTCTTCGTGAACCTGTTCAGCTATGTGAAGTAGTTGGAAATTCAAAATATAGTAATTGTTATAAAAAAACTAGTTCTATGTGTCCCGAAGCAAAGGTCACGCATCCAGCCATCATAGAGACTATTCAAACAAAACCATTTCCAATACGAGGTGAGTGGAAATAGTGATTACATTGCCTTTTTTTTTTAAATATCAAGGGTTTTTTATAATTGATTACTAATTTAATTTATCTTGGTGGTATGTGAAAATTATAAACTTGTGTAAATAACATTCAAAAATTGAATTCGTAATATAATATAAATCTTTTCTACCATTTTTTATCGAATTAATTGCCGGTTGATTTACGATATATTTCAAACAATTCATTTTCTGTTGATTTTATTTTATTTTTTTTAAACGCATAGTCGCATTTATTCATTCATTATACTTTTTCTCTAATTTTGGCTAAACGTTTTATCGTGCACGAAATATTATTAATTGATTAACACAATTTATTGATATTGATTATGGTAAACAAAAAAAAAATTGATCAAAACAAACATTATTGTTATGAGGTACCTGTGCCTTTTTTAACATTTCTTTGAAAATTTTTGTAACATCATGTCTCACAAAAATGTGTCCTTTATAACACACTGTTTATTTTTAAAAAAATTGTCATGTTTTCAAATATCAAATTACATTAATTATAATCATAACCTATTTTACATTTTTTGTGTTTAACCAAGCTAAACTTAGAAACATGAAAGTTAATCAAATTACATTTTATTGATTTTTTTTTTTTTTGTTTCCCTACTTTTACAAGACCTTATATCAAATGATCATGAATGTAATATAATTAACATTCAAGCAGTAGTTTTTTTTATTTATAACTTATTATTTGATTGTGCATAAAATTCAACTCATTTCATTGCATCATATTTATGCTAATAATTATTGAAAAGGAAAAAGTCCTTAAAAATATACTTTCACATCATTTATATCATTA